AACACTCTATACCATGTAAAGAGCAGGGAGCCGCTACTATAACTACTACTGTTGGTGGAACTGGCGGCGGCAAGCGTTCACGAGCCGGTACAGTACCTGGTGGGACCCTCAAGACCCGATCATATGGCGGAAACAACATTAAAGATGCCTCAGGTCAAACTTCTAATGCTGTATCTCCACAAGTGCTTCCCGCAGAGCCAGGCGTCAGCAGCCTGGCACCAATATATCTAGATCAATTGACATGTTCTTCATCAAGTGATCAAGCTCTCACTTCGGGAACTCACAAAGACGAAGTGCCATATAGTATGGGAAGTAGCATAAGAAAGGAAGAAGATAAAATTGTGTCACCTGCATCCGGAAGGTTAGATGTGACTGAACTAATGTGTTCGGATCCACCACCTCTTGGTGTACCTCATTTTATATTCACGACTAGTGTGATAGCAAATTTAATGGCTTCCAAACATGCCTGCCCTAGCTTCGCCGTAAAGCAGATGAGTCAACAGGATGTCTCCAAAGCTGTCAAACTTAAGTCATCAACTGATTTAGGGCTAAATAAAGAGAGTGAAAATCAAATAAAGGGTTCTGAGGATTCTCCAGAGACTTTTTCAATGTTCAGCCAACTTCTTTCTTATTTTCCTAGTCTGGAAACTGTTCTGGATTTCGCAGGTCGTGGTCCAAAGGGCCCGCTTATTCCAGATCCAGTCACACTTTCACTAGTACGTCTTGTAGATGCAGCAAAGAATGAAAATCGCTTAGCCCCCTCCCAGGAGGCTGGAACAAAAACGAGAATAAATGGACTTGAAGAAGCGGCTGGCGAGGCACTGTTGAGTCGACCGATATCCGAGACTGAATCTGAGGCGTTAGAACTACTCAAGCATTTCATCTTTGTGGCGCCACCGGACTCCAGGCCCGATTCTAGCTCTCCATTTTTTCCACCATTTTTGCACTCACAGCAGGTATACAACCTAGCCGGATCTGAGGAGGATACCAGAGTAAGTTATATATCTCTAAGCCATTTTTAAGAACCATAGCTAGCATGGAATGAAAGGTTAGAGGCTGAAATACATCGCATCTTGATTGGAATTATTTACAAAAGGAATTTTATCACTGCTTAATAAGTATGAAAAATAATAGTGATAATCTAATCCCAATCAACTAGAATTAATGTTTTGCTAATCAGGCACTTCAAGGCCTCACAATCCTTGCCAATGGAGACTTATTATCTCTGTTGGCTCGTCACAATTAACCACTTTGCATAAAACCTTTGTCGCACATATGTGGAGCTCTACATGAAAATACTTTATATCTGTGGTAATAAGGATGTACCAGAATTTCTGTAAAAAAGGAGTAG